CCACAGGCAGCCGGAGAAGAAGTTAAACAGCAGGATGACAGCAGTGGAGCTCAGTCAGCCCCTTCTCTCTCCTTCCTTTAAAAAATGGATATACAGCCCTAACCGGTTTGGCTCAGTGGATAGAGCGTCGGCCTGCGGACTGAAGGGTCCCAGGTTTGATTCCGGTCAAGGGCATGTACCTGGGTTGCGGGCACATACCCAGTAGGGAGTGTGCAGGAGGCAGCTGATCGATGTTTCTCTCTCATGGATGTTTCTAACTCTATCCCTCTCCCTTCCTCTCTGTAAAAAATCAATAAAATATATTTAAAAAAATTGATATACAACTTATATGTAATAAAATTTACCCTTTTAAGGTGGATAATTCAGCAGTTTTCAGTATATTCACAACATTGCACAGCCATCACCACTGTGTAGTTCCAGGACATTTTATCACCTCACGCTATACCCGCAGGCCCATGAGCGGTCACTGCCTATTCCCTCCTCCCACAGCTCTGCAGCCACTGACTACCTTCTGTCGCTGGATTTGCCTGTTCCGGGCATTTCATGTAAATGGAATCATACAATATGTGGTCCCTTGTGTCTGGCTTCTTTCACGTAAGCCTTCTGTGTTTGAGGTTGTCCGCGTTGTGGCATGTCTCACTGCTTCACTCCTTTTCATGGCTGAGTAATATTCCCTCGTGGGAAAGACCACACTTTGTTTACCCACCCGTTGGCTAATGGGCACTGGGGTTATTCTGCCTTTGGGCTGTTGTGAGTGACGTTTTCCATTCCTCTGGGTTTGGTTTCCCCCCGCCGAAGCTCTTTGCAGTGGCCAGCTGTCTCCATGTCTCTAGCCTGGCTGTTTGGGAAGTGAGAGAACGCAGAGCCCAACGTGGTGGCTGGCGGGAGGCTGGCGTGGGGGGAGACGCAGATGCCGACAAGGGGAGGGCGGGCTTGAACCTGGCCCACAGCCGTCCGGTGGTAGGTGGGCATTTCCCCTGTTGATTATTAACCGACGGTTATGATCCTGAGAGGAGATCCCTGGGGCTAGAATTGGTGCTTAGTTGAGATGCCAGAAATGTTTTCAAAGACATTTAAACAGTCCTGGACCCTTGATTCTCTCTCTCTACAAGGAGACCGGTTCACCATTTTATGAGTCATGATCACAATAAAGATGGTGATTATAATAACGGTCTGCATTTATAGAGGACTTTATTTTTCATTTCATAGCCATCACTTTTAATTCCTTAGAACATCATCACCCCCATCTGCAGATGAAGGAACTGGGACACAGAGAGGTGAGGTGATTTAACCAAGGTCACACAGTGGGGTAGCAAGAAGAGCCGGACTTGAACCCAGGAATCTCTTGATTCGTAGTGTAGGGCATTTGCATAGAAATGTGTGAGGGATGATGGCTGCAAGGATCTCAAATGGTCCGAGGCAGAGCCAGTGGAGCTGGAGGTGAGGACCCTGGATGCCTGGGTGCTGAAAGTGGGGTCCTCCCCCCGCCCTCCCGGGGCCTGTCCAGTTCCCTACAAACGGCCCCATTTGGATGAATTGTCCTTTGGTTTTTCAGCTTCCCCCCCAGGCTCTTTGATCATTTCCTCCTGAGATTTGCATTTGGCCAAAGGTGGCTAGAACCTCATTTGGCTAAAGCCAGTGAGCACCTCTCCTGGCCTCCCTGAGCCCTCCCAGGGTCGCCCAGGCTCTGGGGAAGGAACGCTGAGTACAGGAGCTCAGTGCCATGTGGTTCCAGGAGGGAGGCATGCTGAGTGGGCAGTGCCCTAGACCCCCTTAGGCGGGCGGAGGGCTCCTGTCCTGTCCATTCATGCCTGCTCTTGCCACCCTGCTCTTAGCTGAGTGAATGCCCTTCCTCTCCTCCTCGGCCTTCTCTCTGCCCTCCTCCCCCCTCCTCCACTCCTATCACCAGCCCCTCTTCCTGTGTGTCCCTGTGGGGGTCCTGGACCCCGAGTCCTTAGAGCCGCAGGTGGGCATTTGGCTGTCTTGGTTGAAGGGCCAGTTTCCAATCTCACTGCTATGATACATGTCAAGATCACTGTGGGCTACTAGAAAGATGTTACAGAGAATAATGAGGGTCCCACCTCTGCTAATAATTTACTCTTCACTTATAAAAATTAGATCAGATTCAAGGTCACCCCTTGATAGACCCGTGTCACTCTCACCTACTCATGTGTGACGTTTGCCTGAGAAAGGGCTGGAACTGCATCGAGCACTGTAGTTCTTATCTCAGTGCCAGCCAGTAGCCGGGCGGGCTGGCTGTCCTTGGGAGGGTGGCTGGCACTCGAATGTCATTGGTTGTGAAGGCCGGGGCAGGACAAGGTGGGGCCCAGCTGACCACAGCAGGGGTGCGAGGCTGAAGCAGGGATTTCATCCTCCTTGTTTTGGGTCCTCTAGTTACAAAGCCAAGGCTAGAGCCTGGGACTTGGGCAGTGTTTTGTTTCCTAGGGCTGCCGTAACCAAGTAGCACAAATCGGGGGGGGGGG